CGTGCCCGGCAGGGGAGCCCGAGTTCCGCTACGTGGCCGGGATGCACGGGAACGAGGTGCTGGGCCGGGAGCTGCTGCTCAACCTCATGGAATACCTGTGCCGGGAATTCCGGAGGGGCAACCCCCGCGTGGTGCAGCTGGTCACGGACACCCGGATCCACCTGCTGCCCTCCATGAACCCCGACGGATACGAGACCGCCTACGAGCTGGTAGGGACGGGGGACGGGACCCCCCGGGGCCGCTCCGGGGCCCATCCCAGTGCCCATCCCAGTGCCCATCCCAGTGCCCCCGCAGGGCTCGGAGCTGGCGGGCTGGGCCATGGGCCGCTGGACCTACGAGGGCATCGACCTCAACCACAACTTTGCCGACCTGAACACGGCGCTGTGGGACGCCGAGGACAACGACCTGGTGCCCCACGAGTTCCCCAACCACTACATCCCCATCCCCGAGTACTACACCCTGGCCAACGCCACGGTGAGCCCCCGAGACCCCCCAGGCTGTGCCAACACCATGGTGAACCCCCTGAAACCCCCTTCCTCCTGCATCCTGACCTCCTGCCCCAACGCCACGGTGAGCCCCCCAAACCCGCCCATCCTCCTGCCCCAGTGCTGCCGTGAGCCCGTGAAATCGCCTTAACCAGAGTGAGCCCCCCTGGAGCCCCCCCATCCTCCCGCTCCAGTGCCACAGTGAGACCCCCAAACCCCCCCATCCTCCCACACCAGTGCCACAGTGAGCCCCCCAAACCCCCCATCCTCCCACACCAGTGCCACAGTGAGCCCCCCAAACCCCCCCATCCTCCCACACCAGCACCCCGGGGGCTGCCCACCCCCGGGGGGCTGCGCTGGGGACAGACCGGGGGGTCTCAGCGCCGTGCCCCGGGCAGGGGGTCGCCGGGAGCGCTTCCCCCAGGCAGGGGGTCGCCGGGAGCGCTTCCCCCGGGCCCCCCCGTGACGCGGAGCCCCCCAGGTGGCCCCCGAGACGCGGGCGGTGATCGCGTGGATGCAGCGCTTCCCGTTCGTGCTGAGCGCCAACCTGCACGGGGGGGAGCTGGTGGTCACCTACCCCTTCGACATGACCCGCACCTACTGGAAGGCTCAGGAGCTCACCCCCACGCCCGACGACGGCGTGTTCCGCTGGCTGGCCACGGTCTACGCCACCGCCAACCTGGCCATGGCCAGCGGCGACCGCCGGCGCTGCCACTACGACGACTTCGCCCGCCTGGGCAACGTCATCAACGGGGCCAACTGGCACACGGTGGCCGGCAGTGAGTGGGGGCCCGGGGGGAGGCGGGGGGGGCGGGCCGGGCACCCCCCGACACCCCCCGTCCCGCCCAGGTATGAACGACTTCAGCTACCTGCACACCAACTGCTTCGAGATCACCGTGGAGCTCTCCTGCGACAAGTTCCCGCACGCCTCGGAGCTGCCCCACGAGTGGGAGAACAACCGCGAGTCGCTGCTGCTCTTCATGGAGCAGGTCGGGACGGGGGCCGGGGGGGGACACAGGCACCGGGGGCCGGGGGCTCGGCAGGGAGGACACGGCTCGGGGGGCCCCAAACTGCCCCGAGGTCTGTCTGTCTGTCCGGAGTGTGCTGGAACCAGGGGGGCACCGGGAAAGGGGTGTCCTGGGTGGGGTTGGGGGTGCTGGGGCCGTGGGGGCACCGGGAAAGTGGTGTCCTGGGTGGGGGTCAGGGGTGCTGGGGCTGTGGGGGTACTGGGGGGTTTGGGGGTGCTGGGGCTACGGGGACAATAGGGGAGGGGTGTCCAGGGTGTGGGTTCTGGGGGCACAGGTGCCGTGGGGCCACTGGGTCAGGGACCCATCAGGGACAGCAGACCCCCCTGGGGGGGCTCCCTGAGCCTGGGGGGGACACGCCAGGGGGTCACACTTGGGGGTACCAGGGGGGACATGGGCACTGAGGGATCGGGGTTTCGGCAGGATGGCAGCGGGACATGGTCAGGGGCCCCCAAACACTGGGGGTGGCACCGGGGGGTGCACATGTGCCACCTGCCCCCCCTCTGACACCCCCCGGGCCCCGCCCCAGGTGCACCGAGGGATTAAGGGCGTGGTCCGGGACAGTGACACCGAGCAGGGCATCCCCAACGCCATCATCGCCGTGGATGGGATCAACCACGACGTCCGCACCGGTGCGGGGGACTGGGGGGAATGGGAGGGGACAGGGACAGCAGTGGGATGGGGATGGGAATGGGGTTGGGAACAGGAATAGGACTGGAGATGTGAATGGGGTGGGCATGAGGACAGGGAACAGGGATGGGGACAGGGAGAAGAATGAGATGGGATTTGAGGGTGGGATGGGATTGGGGATTGCAGATGGGGAGGGAAATAGGATAAGACCGGGAAAGGGGATGGGAAGGGGACAGGAATGGGATTGGGGGTGTGAATGGGATGGGGCTGGGGATGAGGGCAAAGAACAGGGCTGGGAATGGGATGGGATTGTGGATGGGAATGGGGATGGGATGGGACTGGAATGGGACTGTGGATATGAATGGGATAGAGCTGGGGACAGGGATGGGAAGGGGATGGGATTTGCAGAGGGCAGTGGAAATAGGATTAGACTGGGAATGGGGATGGGATGGGAAGAGGTTGGGAATAGGGATGGGACAAGGATGGGATTGGGGACGGAAATGGAATGGGGCTGGGGATGAGCACAGGAAGGGGGCAGGGATGGGGACAGAGGGGGATGAGCACAGGAAGGGGGCAGGGATGGGGACAGAGGTATGGACAAGGACAGGGATGGGCACAGGGATGGGACGGGTGTGTGACCCCCCGGGGCACCTTCCCCCCCCTCAGCCGTGGACGGGGACTATTGGCGGCTGCTGAACCCGGGCGAGTACGAGGTGACGGCGCGGGCCGAGGGCTACGAGGCGGCCACGCGGTCGTGCTGGGTGTCCTTCGAGAACGTCCCGACCCCCTGCAGCTTCCGCCTGGAGCGGGCGCGGGGGTGGCCCCGGGGGTCCCGCCCGGCCCCCGACCCGACCCTGCGGCTGCGGCGGCAGCGCCTGCGCCGCCTGCGCGCCCACGGCCGCGGCCACTGGCCGGGACCGGCACCGGGACCGTGACCGGGGGCTCCCGGGGCCGCGGGCTCGGCCCGGGGGGCGCGGGGGTCGGGGCCGGGGCGGGCGCGCCCGGCGGGACGGGACGGCTCCCAGTAAAGTTGGCTGCGCTGCCGCTGCGCCTCTGCGGGGCTGGAGGGGACCGGGAACGGGACCGGGACCGGGACCGGGACCGGGAACGGGACCGGGAACGGGACCGGGAACGGGATCGGGAAAGGGGCTGGACCGACCCCGAGCCCCGCGTGGGAACTACGGGAGGCCACGCCCCCTTGCGAAGGCCACGCCCCTCTCTGTCCATCAATGGCCCCTCCGCGCAAGCCCCGCCCACCCCCCGCTGACCAACGGAGGTTCCGCCACAAACCCCGACACCCAGTGGTCCCGCCCCCTACCCGCTCGCTGGGCTCCCATTGGCTGCTGGCGGCGGGTGGGCGGGGCTGTGGGCCCCGGGAGCGGTGGGGTTCCGGGGGGCCCCTGGGAGGGTTCGGGGGGCCCGGGGGGCTCATGGGGACAATGAGGGGTTGGGCAGCGCTGGGACAATGCGGGTTCTCCAGCGCGGGGAGCCCGGGGAGCGCTGGGGCCGCGGGGACACTGGGGGGGCCGTGGGGACAACAGGGGGGGCCGGGCCGTGGGGACACGGGGGACTGTTGGGACTGTGGGGCACTGGGAGAGGGCCCAGGGGGGTGCCGTGACCGTGCCCTCAGGGGAACACGGGCCGGCACAGGAATTGGGCACCGGCACGCCCGGAGCCTCCGGGAGAACATGAGAGGGGCACAGGAACTGGGCATCGGCATCGGGCACCGGCACTGGGAGAGCTCGGGGGGCACAGGAGTCGGGACTGGTACCCCCCGACCCCTGGCACAGCCCCGGGGCACACACACTTCTGGTACTGGCGTCGGAACCAGCACCCCCAGGAGAACCGGGAGGGCACAGGAACCAGGCACCGGCACCCCCGAACCCCAGGGAGTGGGTGGCACACGGGCACGGGGGTGGCACGGGGGGGGCGGACCGTCGGGCCCCACACTGGGGGGTCTGCGGGGTGCAAAGGAGGGGCCGGGGTGGCCCCCCCTCAGCCCCCCGGGAGCCCTGCCAGGGCAGGGGTCCAGCTCCCCGGGGCGGGAAGGCAGAGCCCTGTTTGGTCCTGATGCCACCACGTCCCCTGGGGGGCTTCTGGCTGCCCAAGGGAACTGCAGGACCCCCACTCGCGTGTCCCCCCACCCCCCCGCACCCCCCGATGCCCGCGAGTCGGGCACTGCCCGAAATAAAGGACTGTCCCCCACGCCGGGCTCAGCCGTTCTTCGGGGGGGGGTCCCCAGCACGACGGGCGTCCCCGGCACCGCACGGCCCCCCATGGCCCCCCCGGGAAGGCTCCAGTGCGGGACTGGGGGGGATTTCACCCCAGACCCCCGAGGCATCGCTGTGATGACCCCCCCAGTCCCCTGTGGCAGCGGGGGGCTCTGGGCAGGGGGTGGGGGTCTCCTACAGTGGGGACGCTCCCTGGTGAGGGGCTGGACCCCCACCCCGGTTCGATACGTTGCCGTTCGGATCCAGGGCTGCCCCCCCATCCCTTGGATTGGGCGGGGATGGGGGCCCGGGCAGTGGTTTTGTCTGTCCCCCGCCACTGCTCGGGACCCCCATGCCCTGCCCAGATGCCGCTCCCCCCCGATCCCCCCCCGTGACCCCACAACCTTCCCGGGATCGGTTTATGGCATCATCCCACCCCGGCGGCGGCGGCACTTCCCACCCGCGCCTGCGCTCCCCGCGCCGCCGGAGCCTCCGTGGGCCTGGGAACGGGCTGAACGAGGGGGAACCCCCCGTGCTGCCACCGGAGACCCCCCAAAACTGAGAGAGACCCGCCCCCCGAGCCGAGCGAGCCGCCCCCAGCGCTGCAGGGCGATGGGCTGAGCGCACCCCGCACCTCCGCGGGAGCGGCCGCGCAGGCCGGTGCGGGGGCTGCGGGAGACAAAGACCCCTCCCAGAGACCCCCCGGGCCGTGCCGGGGGGGTGACCAGACCCCCGGCCCTGTGAGGACCCCCCGGTTCGCCCCGAGGAGCTGCAGAGCCGCGACCCCGCTTTGAGGAGCGACCGCGCCGGAGCAGCAGGTGGGGGGGGCGAGGGGGAATTTTGGGGAGTGAGGGGTGCCGGGACCCCGGGCGGGGGTGGGACGGGGGGTAAGGGGGTGTGACCCGAACCCCGCGGGGTTTGGGGCTGTTTGGGGACCCCCAATCCCTTCCCCGGGGCAGGGTGGGGCTGTTCCTCTTCCCCATGCGCGGGGAGCTGAGCCCCCCCCGCCCTGAGCAGCCCCGGAGGCGGTCTGTCCCCGTGCCCCCCCGTGTCTCCGTGCCCCCCCGTGTCCCCGTGCCCCCCCCTCGTGTCCCTGTGCCCCCCCGTGTCCCTGTGCCCCCCCCGTGTCCCTGTACCCCCCCCCGTGTCCCTGTGCCCTGGGGCCAAAGGCCAGTGCCCAGCGCTGCCCACCTTTGTCCCGGGCTCGTTGTGCCGCTCGGCGCGGGGTGAGTGTTGGGGTCCCGGGTGGGGGGGACACAACCCCGGCTCCTCCTGTCCTTCCCTCTGGCCCCCCCAGCCCCTGCCTCCCCCCGGGTGTCCCAGTTAAACCCCCTCCCCAGCCGGGAGCGAGGGGATGAATCCCTCGGGACCCCTCAGCCCACGTCACAGGGGACCCCCGGGTGGGAGAGGCACCGGCACAGCCCAGACCCCCCGTGCCACCCCAGGGACGGCTCTGGGGGTACGCCGGGTGTCCCCATCCCTGCGGCACTGCCCTGCTCCCCTGTGCCGTCCCACAAATGGGTCTGTGGGTACCCTGGGGGTCTCTGTGGAGGTGGGCACTGCCCTGGGAGGTGGGCACTGACCCGATCCCCTGCTGCACCCTGGTGCTGGGACCTGGGGGTATCCCGAGGGTCCCTGTGGAGCTGGGCACTGTTCTGACCGCCCTGTGCCATCCTGGCCTTGGGATCTGTGTTACCCCAACCCTGTCCCATCCCTGACCCCACTGGTGCCCCATCCCTGCCCCCATAGGTGCCCCATCCCTGTCCCATCCCTGACCCCTGTGCAGGTGCCCCCATCCCTGACCCCACAGGTGCCCCATCCCTGTCCCATCCCTTACTCCACAGGTGCCTCCATTACTTTCCCATCCCTGACCCCACTGGTGCCCAATCCTTGTCCCATCCCTGACCTCTGTGCCCTGTGCAGGTGCCCCCATCCCTGTCCCATCCCTGACCCCTGTGCCCTGCGCAGGTGCCCCCATCCCTGTCCCCTCCCTGTCCCATCCCTGACCCCTGTGCCCCCTGCGTGTGCCCCCATCTGTGTCCCCATCCCTGTCCCATCCCTGACCCCGCTGTTCCCCCGCAGGTGCCCCCCTCCCTGACCCCTGTGCCCCCTGCGTGTGCCCCCATCCCTGTCCCCTCCCTGTCCCCTCCCTGACCCCGCTGTGCCCCCGCAGGTGCCATGGCGTCGTTCCGGATCCGGCCGTTCCGGGAGCAGGACTCGGACGCGGTGCGGGCGCTGTTTGCCCGCGGGATCCTGGAGCACGCCCCGGCCGGGTTCCGGCACGTGCTGCGCTCGGCGCGGGTGCGGCTGGCGCTGCTCGTGCTGTTCGTGGGCGCGCGGGCGGGCGGCGGGTCCTGGGTGCTGGGCCTGGGCGCCGTGGGGCTGGCGCTGGTGCTGCTCTGGCTGCTCGTGCGCTCCCTCAGCGCCGACTACGTGCGCGACGCGCTGGGCACCGACCTGTGCGACATCCCCGGCGCGTACCTGCGGGCGCCCGACTGCGGCTTCTGGGTGGCCGAGGTGGGGGGCTCCGTGGTGGGCATGGTGGGCGCGGTGCCCTCGCGGGACGCGCCCGGGGCGCTGGAGCTGCGGCGGATGTCGGTGAGCCGGGAGCAGCGCGGGCGCGGGCTGGCGCGGGCGCTGTGCCGGGAGGTGCTGGCCTTCGCCCGCGCCCGCGGCTTCGGCGCCGTGGTGCTCAGCACCTCCATGGTGCAGGTGGCGGCCCAGCGGCTCTACGAGGGGCAGGGATTCCGCAGGGTGGGCGCCTCCAGCCCCTCCCTGCTGGGCACCATCCTGCACTTCCAGATCTTCCACTACCGCTGCGACCTGGGCGCCCGCGACGGCGCCAAGGCCGAGTAGCGCCGGTGGGACGCCGCGGGCACGGGGGGCACCGCTGTGGCACAGGGGTCCTGGGACACGTGGCACTGCCGTGGCACCCCAAACCTGGGACACGAGGCACTGCCCTGGCATGGCAGCACCGACATGGCACCACGACCCCGGCACATGTGGCGCTGCCATGGCACCCAAACTCCAGCCCCAGCACAGCTGTGGCACCCGAGCCCAGGACGTGGGGCTCCACCACAGCACTACCAGAGCATCCCAAACTTGGCACATGAGGCACTTCCACGGCACCCCAAATTTGGCACACGAGGCACTGCCATGGCACCCCAACTCTGGGACTTGAAGCTCCACCATGGCACCACCACAGCACCCCAAACTCAGGACAGAAGGCACTGCCACGGCACCCCAACTCCAGCCCCAGCACAGCAACACCAACATGTGCCCCCAGGACGTGAGGCATTGCCATGGCACCCCGACCCTGGCCCCTGTGGCACTGCCAGAGCACCCAAACCCAGCCCCAGCATGCGGAGTGCTGCCACGGCACCCCAGCTCCAGGACGTGAGGCACCACCACGGCACTCCAGGCTTGGCACACAACGCACTGCCATAGCACCCCAACCTTGGCACGCGTGGCACTGCTGTGGCACCCGAACTGCAGCCCCAGCACGGCAGCACTGACTGTGCTGTCACTGTGAGCCCGGGACATGAGGCACTGCCACGGCACCCCAGCCTGGGACACACGGCACTGCCGTGGCACCTGACCCCGGCACAGAGGCACCACCAGGACCCAAACCCCAGCCCTGGCACAAGAGACACTGCCACAGCACCCCAGCCCTGGCACCCTTGGCCCGGCTCTGGCACCCCGGACCCCAACCTTGGCACTCCAGACCCCGGCCCTG